CACTTCTAGGGTGAAGGTCAGGACTGAGCTTCTGTTCTTGTCCCCTACTTTCACAGTACAGGCTGGGGACCTGCAAGCTTTCAATGCTCCCAAGAGATGTAATCTCAGGTGAAGTCTGCTCACAGCCCTTCTGGTCTGAGCTGAGTAAATTTCTAATCCAAGTTTAACATTACCAGGTTTGAGTCTGTCAGCTTGTCCTTGGTTGGGAGTTTTAGTAGGCTACTGTTGGACTCAGCCAGGATAAGCCACTGGGAAACTTTATAGGTTCAGGGTGACTGAACTGAAGTCCCTTTGATCTGAGATTCCTGCGTTGTTTATTCCACTGTAGGCTCCAGGAACCTAGAGTGGAGGCTAGAAACGAATCCCTGCTTTGCTCCTATGATCAAAGTCACATAACTACTGTTTGTTTCTGAACTTGTTCTTTGCTCATGTCTTATGACCAACTATGAGACTGTTCCTCTCCACTACCTCTAAATGCAGGTGGTTCTCCTCCTGTGTGTACCTTGGATCTGTGACTGGGAACTGGGTGATGGAGGTGTAGGTGACAGAGCTGGCAGATTGCACCTGTTCCTGCACCCTACTCTTGTTCAAGAATCCCCTAAGCTCTCTTCTTGTCCCATACTTCTTTCCCTGGTACCTAGTTTTGGCCATCTTTTGTTCCCTACATGCTGCAATGCTCCTGGCCAGACCCTATCTCCAGGGTTTGCAGATTTCTTTTTCTCCCCCTAAGCCAAAAAGGGCTAGAAAATGCCTCACTGGGATTTTTTTCCTTGGATTTCTTGATCATAATTCAGTCTAATGCATTTTCTAGATCTTTGTAGGAGAGGAGGGGCTCTGCTGTATTGCTTCCTGCTGCTCCACCATCTTGACTCCATCTTTCCACTTCTTTTCCTTGTTCTTTCAACACCCAAGGATGTAGCTCATCTGTGTTAGGTAACTTGAATATCAAGGGCAGCTAGATGCTTTCTTACTATTTCATCACTTGTTTTAGATACCATCTTCCTATTAACCAATTTTGTTCATTTTTTTTTCTAGTAAAAAGATGATCTCTTACCAATTTTATCCCTTTTGACACTATTCACAGAATAAAACATGGGGAAATGAGTCAAGAGTACAGATCACAACTCACACATAAACAGAATGCCTCCTATAATATACACAAATATCCAGCTTCTGCTACAAGATCTTTAATGACGAGTAATCCCCAATTTCTGAGATAGTCCATTTCTATTTTTGCAAAGTTCTAATTGTTAGGACAGCTGTCATGACAGCAAACCTCAATTTGTCCTCCATTACTTTCACCCACTGTTGCCAGTCCTGCCAACAAATCTAAGTCTTCCTCCACATGACAACCCTTCAAATACTTGAACACAGCCGTCATGTCTCCCAAGTCTTGTCTTTTTCTCAAGGGCAAATGATCCCAATTGCCCCACGTGATTCTCATATAGCACTTAACAATTCTGGTTTTCTTCCCTTGGATGTTCTACAGTTCATCAATGTCCTAGGCACTTTGGTGACCAGAACTGAACACAATACTCCAGAGATGGTCTAAACAAGGCAAAGTACAAGAGGTCTATCTTAGCTCTTCACATCATGCCTCTATTAATGTAGCTCAATTCTATGTTACCATTCTCTGCTGCCACAGCACACTGCTGGCTTATAATAAATTTGTAGTCCTCTAGCTCATGGATTTCTTTTTTTGGTGGAAATACTGCTATCTAACCATTCACCTTTCATCGTATGCTTTTGAGGCTGACTATTTGAACCCAAGTGTAAGACATTACCTTTATCCTACTGAGTTTCATTTTTATGAGATCCAACCCAATGCTCTTTCCTGTTAAGAACTTTTTTTTTTTTAATTCTGACACTATCAACTTGATGAGCATGCTATGAATGCCTTAATTCAGATAACTAACAAATTTTTAAAAGAGTCCTTCACAGATCCTTGGCTCCAGACTTTTTTTTCCCAAGCTACTATAGGATCATTAATGATTTTCTCTGGGCCTGGCCCTTCAAACTAGGTCTGAAACCAACTAATTCTATACTGTCTGGCCCATGTCACCATCTTTTCCAAAAGAATAGCAAGAGAAAGTTTACAAATGCTTTGTTAAAATTTAGATTAACTAAATCTACAGTGTTCTCCTGTTCTAATTGTACCCCAAACTGGAAAGTTCATTCCATGCCCTCCATGCATTCATGTGCATGTGCATTCATGAATGCCTCCAGGCATTCCATGCCTGGAATATACTATCTTCCTTATCTATACCTCTGAGAATCTTTGTATTTTTTCGAGATTTGTCTCATACAATGCATTCCCCACAAAGTCTTACCTGATTCCTTTAGCTGTCAGTATTTTTCCCCCTCCCCAGAGCATGTTGTATTATACTTATTTTTGTCTATGTTGTATCCCCTGCACCTGCCACGGTGCTTGCCATATAATGGGTACTTAATAATGAATAATATTATCAGTGATTTTTTGAATTTTTAAGCAAATAAAAGCAAGAACTGTGTTCCCCCCCTTTCCTTCAACGTCATTTTCCAGGAGACAGTTAAGGAACAACCTTGCATTATTATTACTATGAATTAACAGCAGCAACTGGGAATATTTGAAATTTCCATAGAGAAATATTCATTCATTCAATTAAAGTAGTTCTTGTACGCAACCAAGACAACTAAAAATGAATCGATGAGAAGTGTATTCCTCATCTGGTCCATGGGTTCTCAATCTGAGGTCTACTGGCAAGAGGTCTATGGATAGATTTCCAGGGAGTCTGCGAATGGCTATTGGAAAAAAATTAAATATTAGCCTCTAACTGAAGTTTAGCATTTCCTTCAATTATTGAATAACTGTTTAATTATTCTTTCAATAACATAAAACAAAACATTCTTTTGAGAAGGCATTCATAAACTCATGAAACTGACAAAGGGGTCCGTGAGACACACAAAAAAGATTAAGAACCCTAACCTAGACAATGATCATCTAATACCTACTATACAGGTTTGTTTTGAGGAAAGCATTCTGTAAACTTTAAAGACCTTTAAAAAGGTGAGTCATTCCTATTATTGTAGCTTGATTATTGTTTTGCTCATTGCTATCAATAACTAATATCTAACATTTATATAGCATTTATTATGTACCAGGCACTGTGCTAAATACTTTTTTATAAATATTATCTCATTTGCTATTGTGAATTTACCTTCCTTAGCCTTTCTAGAGTCACTGTTGATTCTTCCATCTTTAATCCTCCATCTATATCTGAAATAGCCCCCCTCTGTCAATTAACATCACAGCTCGCAGATTCTTCATAGTACAATGTAGACGTTTTAATGGCATTCTAACATAGCGCAGGAAAGAGACCCATTTAAAAAACAAAATAAAAAACAATTCCTTTTTTACTCAACCAGTGATTTCTAAATGTTTTCCCAAAGAAGTTGTATAAAAATTTTATGGGTTCTTCCAAAGAACACTGGATGTGGACCTGAGTTTGAATCTGGAGGACCCGAGTTTAAATCTTAGCTTTTCCACTTACTAAACTTATTTTACCTTGGACAAGTCATTTAACCTCTCTGTGTCCCAGTTTTTTCATATGTAAATTGAAAAGGCTTGACTAGGTGACCTCTGACATCCCTTCCAGCTCTAAATCCACGACTACGACAAATACATAAATCACATCCTGTTACAATGAATTCTAAGAGAACATCACAATTGTCCACTGGTTGGAATGGGATCTGGTTATGAGAACTTTTGAAATTAGTGGGTGGGAAGTATTTCTGCTAAACTGATCTGCTTTGTGATCATATCTGCGGCATTAGGATTTGATCTACAGCACACGAAAGATTAAGTGATGAGAAATAGAACGATATAACGGAAAAAGAGCTAGATTTGGAATCAAAAGACCTGGGTTCCAACTCTGGTTCTACTTGCCATTTCTGTGACCTTGGGCAAATAATTTCTTAATCTAGAAATTAGGGTTGACCTCGATCAACTTTCTGTTATTGTGGCAGGTGAAAGATGAAGCAAAGAAGAAACAAAGATTTGATCTTCCAAGCACATCAATTTATTGAGCAATGCATGGCAACTGCCCCACAAACCGAGATGAGACCTCCTCAGCTTAGGCCTGTACCCCAAATACAGGGGGAGACAGATTTTTATACATTCAAAACAAATAGTCAAATAAGACTAATTAAGAGGAAACAATACAACGTTAGGTAATCTGATTTCTAATTGGAGGAAAGATTAGAGACTTTCCAAGCAAACAGGTGCAATTCCCTGAATTCAGAAAGAGAGGTATGCAACTCTCTCCAAGTGTCTGTATACAATCAAAGGAACATGAAAACAATAACTGATTAATCAGTACGGGGCCAGTCTCCAGATGACATATGGGTTGCTTGAGATGTACAATTCTGAGAAAACTCCTTGCACAGACCTTTGCATCTGACCAGGTTGCTGGTCAGCAACACCAAAGTCCTTGGTTAAGGGTCTCTAGCAGCAGGGAGAGGTGGTCCAGTTTCCCAGCTATGCAGGACTAGGTTCAATCAATGCAATAAAGTTTTCTCCCAATTTTCATAACTGAATAAAGTTTTCTCACAAGACAGAATCTAGACCAGATCCATAACTAAATAGAAAGAGAACTAAGCTAGCTTCAGAACTGAGTCACAAGATGGAGTCAGTGGTTCACTCGATCTCCACAATTAATCACAGTCCTAATCCCCTCAATTCTATCATTACAGACCCATTGGTAGTCTGGAAAAACATACAGACCCCTTATCATGATCATGTTTTAAATACACAAAACACATGGGATTGCAAAGGAAATTAATGATATTGAAATAAAAATGTCTAAATTTACAGACCTCACAAAATTGATCTGCAGACCCCAATGTTAAGAATCTCTGGCCTAGATAATCCCTTCCAAATTGAAATACATGATTTATGATACTATATCATGCCCTGAGATGGTTCAAAACTTATCACAAACATCAACATTTTGAGTACATACCTTTTGGGGGTAGACAATCTCTTCCCGAAGGAAGGTATTTTCCCCAGCATTCCTATCAAATAGACCCCAGTCCATCTTCAGATCCCAAAAGAGGGTATAGCAGGAGCTGATGACACAGAAGACAATCCAAAGATAAAAGAACACTGAGGTGTCTGAGTGGTCTCGGGCTGGGGGGCAAAAGAGTAGGAAGAGAGGGATAGAAAGAAAACAAGTAGATTTTAATAACATTAAATATTCATTAATTCCCAATAATCAACACCAAAATTCTTTACCAAGTTCTCATAAAAGGACAACAAAGAAATTTTTCATCTAAACAGGGCAGTTGCTCAATGAAGGCCAGATGACAAGAGTCCTTCAAATTTGTTGTCAATAATAAACATTTACTACTCATCTATTATGAGCAGGGGTTATATATATTTTTGAAAGCGAAGTTTTTGGGAGCTCTTTGCTATGTATCAACACAAAAACAAACAAAATCCAAATATTAAGAAAAATATTATTTTAATTCTAGACATAAGGTGGCAGCTTAAGGTCAAGTCAAAGAAAAAGTCTAAAATTCTTCTGACAATAAAGTCACTGCTAACACTGTTTGGTTTAAGAAACTTTTGGATTGTTTCTATTGTGTACAGAACAATAGACCTGTCATGTAGTTAGTATCTTTTTGTAGTGTAGGCAAGTAGACCAAATTCTAAATTTAGATGAAATTCTAGGGAAAGTGAAAATGGAAATAGACTGATACATAAAACAGAATTTTCTATGCATATGATTTCATCTTTTAAGTTAATGAGAGTATTTTATGTTGACTTTCCTTCAAGTCTACTCTGACAATGTAAAAATCTTTCTATGCATGCTGCGGTTTATTTATATATGAAGTCACAATGGAATTGTAATCTGCATTGGCAGAGGCAGTGCTCATGTCAATGAAATCATAAAAGTCACCTGACATATTGAAATGTGATTTATTGGTGCTTTATGCTATTGTACCAAATTTGGAAAAATAAAATGTTAAATAAAAATCACATAACATTCAAAAGTACCAATGAATTCTTCAGAGGCATACTGTTCTCAAGTGTTTCATAATGTAGCTATATTGTAGTTTCATATTGTAAGCTATAGAACTATCACTTAAAATGTTCTCAGTGATTTTGTATTAGTTGCTTTTCTAATATAAAAACACCAGAAAACAGGCACAAATACATTAGTTTATACTAAATTTAAACAGGTTAGTCTAATCAAAGTACTAAAAAATTAAAAATGAGACAGAATCTATCACGGCTTAGTCATAATATTTTTCATTTAACACGTGCCAAGATTCAAATGTAATGGGTACATTAAAATGCCACCAAAAATAAATATGGTTAAAAACAGGAGACAGACTGGAGTGATTCAAGTAATATACTTAAAGATAAAATGGATGAACTGGGATAATCCAGAAGCAATCTAGAATAAGACCATAGTATTTAATAAACCTAAGGGCTCCAAATGTTGAGGTAAGGAAGGACAGACTATGAGTCAAAACTGCTGGGAAAACTGGAAAGAAGTCTGAAAGAAATTAGGTTTAGACTAACATCTCATACCACACAGAACCATAAGTTCTAAAAGGATATATAACCTACGTATAACAAACAAATAAGAGGAGCCAGGAAGGAGATGACTTCACAACTATGGACAGAGAGGAAAAGAGTTCTTATCTAAGCAAGAAATAGGGAAAATCACAGGAGATAAAATGGACAATTTCAATAACATACAATTGGCTATTTTATGAACAAATAAAATCATTGCATTGGAACTAGAAGGCAAACAGTTAAACAGGGAAGTTTTTTTGGTAGCAAAATTCTCTGATAAAGGCCCAAAATCTAAGGGACAGGGAATAGGTCAAATATATAGCAAGAACCATTTTCCAATAGATAAATGGTCTAAGTATATGAAGAGGTATTCCTCACAGTAAATCACCAATAACAGCAGAAATGCAAATTTGAAAAAGGTTCTACCTCATACATACATCTGTTTTCACAGATGATAAAAAGGGAAAATGACAATGTTGGAGGACAGGCATAATCCCTTAATATTTATTTTTCCCTAATTACATGCAAAACCAATTTTTAACACTCATTTTTTAAAATTTTGAGTTTCAAAATTTTCTCTCCCTCCCTCCCCTGAGATGGTAAGCAATTTGATATATAGGTTATAGATGTATGATCATGCAAAACATATTTCCATATTCATCATGTTGTGAAAGAAGACACAGACAGAAAACTAAAATAAAACACCACCAAGAAAAAAAGTGAAAAATAGTATGCTTCAATCTACACTCAGATTCTATCAGTTCTTTCTTTAGATGTGGATAGCATTTTTCCTCATAATTCCTTTGGAATTGACTTGAATAATTGTACTGCTAAAAACAGCTACGTCTTTCACGGCTGAACATCATACAATATTGCTGTTACTATGTACAAGGTTCTGGTTCTGCTCACTTCACTTTGCATGTAAGTCCTTCTAGGTTTTTCTGAAAGCATCCTGCTTGTCATTTCTTATAGCACAATAGTATTCCATCACAATCATATACCACAACCTGTTCAGGTATTTCCCAATTGATGACATTCCCTAATTTCCAATTCTTAGCCACCACAAAAAGAACTGCTATAAATATTTTTGTACAAATAGTTCCTTCTCCTTTTTTTGTGAACTTTTTGGGATACAGACCTACTAGTGGTATTGCTGGATCAAAAGGGTATGTACAGTTCTATAGCCTTTTGGGCATAGTGAGGGACAGGCATATTAATATACTATTGGTGGAGCTGTGAAATGGTCTAACCATTTGGGAAAGCAATTTGGAACTAGACCCTGAAACTCATAAATTTGGAATAACCTTTAACTCAGTAATACCACTACTAAGCTTATACTTTCCAAAGAGGTCAAATATAAAGGTAATAAAATCCATACATGTATACAAAAAAAATTTGTAGCAGCACTTTTTCGTTCTAGCAAAGGACTGGAAATAAAAGTTATGCCCATTAATTGAGGAATGGCTGAATAAATTATGGTAAGAGAATGTAATGTAATCTTATAGGGATGGATTCAGAGTCCTGGGAGAACTTGTATGAACAGATGCAAACTAATGTAAGAAGAATTAGGAGAACAGTTTATGACTAAAACTACATAAAGTAAAGTTATTATCAAAGCCTTAAGTGACCAATGTAATGACTACAAAAGACCACTGGTGATTTATGCTTCCCACTTTTTGGTGTAGAGATAGAGACATACACCAATGAAACATAAAATTGTTTGCTTGACTATACTTCTTACAAGATATGAGCTTTTATTTATTTTTTATTTTATTTTATTTTTTTTTGGTGAGGCAATTGGGGTTAAGTGACTTGCCCAGGGTCAAGTGACTTGCCCAGGGTCACACAGCTAGTAAGTGTCAAGTGTCTGGTCTGAGGATTTGAATTCAGGTCCTCTTGACCAGGGCCGGTGCTCTATCCACTGTGCCACCTAACTGTCCCCCCCTTTTTTTTGCTTTGTTTTTGCTTTTTGGTGAGGAAATTGGGGTTAAGTGACTTGCTCATGGTCACACAGCTAATAAGTGTCAAGTGTCTGAGGTTGGATTTGAACTCAGGTCCTCCTGACTCCATGGCCGGAGCTCTAGCCACTGTGCCACCTAGTTGCCCCTGAGCTTTTATTTTTAATGGGAGGGAGATGTAGGGAGGTAGTGATAGCAATACTTCAAAAAAGGAAGAAAAGAAATAAAAGGTCCCCAATGGACCATTAAAAATAAATTTAAAAAAAAGAGAGAGAAGATTTCAGAAGCAAGGTAGTGTTGAAATTATTACCACACTAAATTTGAATGATCAAAAAAGCTGTACATAGGGAAGATTCATGGTTCATATACAGCTCTATTTTTCAGTTCCTCATATAGGGAAATATTAATGTTTGCAACTTTTACAATAAAAAGAAAAACTTTTTAGAAAGATTTGAGATAAACACATTCCAGACTTGTTATGGAAGCACTTTTCTCTCTTATCAAAGATGGATTCTTCTGAGTCACTTCCAGATTACAGTTGTTTTTGGTTAAGTCTCAATTTTACAAGTCTCAGGAAATCTACCTATTGATTTGGCTCAGTCAGAAATGTTTGGGCAAATTATTTGTTATTTCATGTTTACTGAGAGACCTAGGGAACAGTAAGTAACATCTCTTAATAATGAGCAACTCAACCTCATTTCAAAAAGGGAACCCTGCAGTTGTACTATTGCTGAGGTTTGCAAAGACAAATGGCAAACAAAGCACATAATCTTTCAGCATACCACTCATCTATGCTAAGGATTTTCCCAAGGCAAATACTCACAAGAGAAAACGTATTTGAAAAACATTACCACAAACTATGCTATGATACATGCTAGCATTTTGCTTTCTAGTGGGGAGGAGATCATGAAAGAGAAAAATGTAGTGGGTTGACAAGAGACATTTCCCAATTGAGTTTTCTGAAGCATAACGTCAAGTATTACTATTGAAGTTATTTTGTTCTCTCAACTACTAATGGACAATTAAGTGTAAATTATAACAGAAGGGAAGGATGTGGAAAAAAAAGGTAAAAAGAATTGCAATTAGGTAAGTAGTTTCTGAATAAAAGCAACTAAACTTAAGGACTGGACTAATTTCTAGTTATGAAGAGATTCTTAAAGCTGGAAGTGAAAGGAACCTGAGGCTAACAGAGGTTAAGGAATTTGTTCAGAGTCATGTTGTTGCTGTTTTTGTCCTTCGTTTTTGGAAAGGACCATGACATCAGAGTCACATGGCTAGTTGTAGAAGACCTGGAACTCATTCTGCCCTTCAAGAGTGTTGTATAATTCTTCAAAAGTCACCCAGGGTTACTATTTTTTCTTTCTCTCTTATGCCTCTCTTATTAGGCATTAAAATACAATACCACTATTAGTCAAAGAAAACTAAACTCTGACTATCTCAGAGTTATTAGTCCTCTAAAAACACTAAAGTAAAATCCTATTCCATGATATTCTTTATGTTTTGGTCTGATTTAATCTGTAGCCTGCATTCTTACCTTCATCTGATCTTTCTCATCCTCATGGGACTTTTGTATGGCATCATCCCTTCCTCATCTGCCTTCATTGGCATTCAGGGAACATACAGAAAATAGCATATTACTCTAGG